AATATTACGGGATCCAAGGGATGTTTGCAACCCGTAAATTAAATGTGATTTTTAGTATACTGAATTTGCTCTACAATACATGTAACATACAACATGTTTACAACCTCTTTACTTAAAAAAGCAAAATATTTGAAGAAACATTGCTTTCTTTAGCTGGTATTAATCTGATTTTCATGCACACCCCTTAAGCTGTCTAATCTAGAATGATAAATGCTGGTTTGCAGTACTAGTATATTATCAACTGTTTTAGGTTAAACAAGTAGCATTGATTCAAATTTAGTATTTCTGGCAACTGTAAAGAAGGATGTATGGATGTATTTTGAATTACCTGTTAACTTTATTCCACACTAAAGCCACGTGTGTTACTTAGTTTACCTTTTCCCCATTTCACTTTTAACAATGCTAATTGTTTGACAGACAAAAGTAGTCTCAGGGATAAGTATTTGCTGTAGAAGGTTTTATATTCCTCTTATGCTTGTAGGCAGCTAACTTGCAATGTGGAAAGGAGAATAATTTAAATGGTGCAAGAGAGGAAAAAGTAAGGAAAATTATGGCTGAACAGCAGGGGGAAAAACCCTTGACATTGGGATCTGCTAGCCTGGAATAAGCGGGCCAGGGAAGCGGTGGGAGTCCTTTCCTTGGAGAATTTTAATTCTAATCTAGAGAAAGCAATGCAACATATTGCAGTGAAGGATCTTGTGCTAGTGGAGGATGGATTACATTTTTTAATTCTTTAGTTTTTATGTACCAAGATGTGTTATCTGTGGCCTCCTCTTTATGGGTGCCCTTAAGATTTTTAAGGAAAAGGAAAGTAAAAGGTGGATTTTGGAAAGAGTAGATGGAAGTCAAAGCCTAGACATGAAAGGTATTTCTCATCATTCTTTGCCAACTGGGTGCAATTCATTCTATTAGCAGCCCAGTGCCAGGTGAGAAGAGAGTAAATCTATTAATAGAATATGCTGAAAGTCTGTGAAAATATTTTTCCCTCAGAAAAGACTTTGGAAAGGAAATAAAATGCACGGAAAAAAGTGTTGCTCCTTTGATATTTTAAATATTGCTTTATGAAAGACTGAAAAAATAATCCCCTTCCACTTGCTTTTTGTACAAACAATCGGTTTTTATCTTTTTTTAATGAACTTTTCTAAAACTATAAAAAGTTGTGAGGAATTAGGGGGAGGGGGAAGGCTTTTGAAATGAACTGCCGACACACTAGTGCCATTTTGGTGAGCAGTCTTGCTAATTGGGCTGTTTTGTACCGCCTGCCTTTCAGAAAGGTATCGGGACTAGAACCTACCTATGTTTCTGGATGCTTCTCCTGGAGGCAGCCCACACCTGAAGAAGCCGCCTTCCATTTGCATCAAGAATGACCAGGATTGCAGGGGTATGTGCTGGTTTTTGTATCCGCATCAATGTATGTGTGTGGCCCTGGGCATGCATGGCAGTGGGGAAGGGGAGAGGGATGCTGGTAAGACAGGGCAGTACTGGGGACTGCTGGAGAGAATGGTCCAGATCCTTCAGTTGGAGTTCTGGCCTGGGAATTTTCAGGATTGACTTGGCCTTATCTCAGCAATGGTTTATAAGTTGCTATTTAAAGATTATAAAAGAGCCTTGCAGTTTAGTAAAGCTAATTGCCTCCCTTTATTGTAGGAATAAGTGGCTGTAGCACAGTTCCCATGCTCTTCTGTGCAAATGCTTTCCCTTCTTCCCTGCATTTCTTTTGAAGGATGCTATGTTATGCCCTACCAACCACTGATACGATGGCGATAGGTTCTTGTCTTTGCTGTTTCAATGAATGCACAGTGCTCATAATGAGGATGTAGCTGTGTTGGGCAATCCAGGGAGGTTTTGTACAAGCATATTTTCAAGTACTTTTGGAAGCATTACTCAGTCTACTTCAAATCAGTCTATAAAGGGAGCTAATGCTTCCATTAAATATATTTTTAGCCCTGTTCCTCTAGGCTCAGACTTCCTTAATTTTGTCTGTCTCTATCCTCTGAGAGTCTGTGCTGAGGTACTGACTGCATGGGGCAGCACCTGCTAAGTTAATGGTAGAAGAGGCAAGCCACATATTTTTGAGCAAGGATAACAATGATTCCTCTTCCGTGGAAGAGAACAAAGGCCATGGCTGACTTGACAATCTGAGCCCAAGAAGCCAGCCAGAAACCTCAAGGACTGGCTTCCCTCCCCCCCCCTTAAAAATGTTGTTGATGTGGTTTGTTTTTTTTTTTTTTCCCCCAAAAAAAAGCATTTTGATTGATAGCAATTAAATGCACCAATCGTGCTTTAGGCAAGGGCTGCCCTGATTGCTATTTACAGATAAAGAAATGGGTGCAGAGAGATGAAGTGGCTTGTTTACCACTCCACGGTAAATCAGGAATAAGAAAGGCAGCACCGAGAATCCATGTTGAGTCCCTGATTCTTTGTAATCGTTTACTCCTGCGGATTGGAAGGAACACTGTACCCTATCAGCACGGTAGCATTTAACCCTCGTTCTGTGCCAGTGTAAATGAGATTGCAAGGTGGTAAGTGGTGGAGAGCAAGGCCTCTGATCTACAAGGGTGAGGGTGTTCAGATGGGGAGCAGATGATGACAAATCACAAAATTAAAGCAAAGGAAAGATTAAACTAAAACATCAAGAAGAACTCAATAATGGTAAGATTAACTGCAGTATAACCTCCTACAGGAAGCAGCAAGGGCAGAGCATTTTAATCATTTAAAACAGGACTAAACATAGTTTTGGGTAACATACTACAGCACTGGAATAAATGACTATAAGCTGGTGCAGGTACTGAAGGCTTAGCCATAGCCCTAATATTCCTAGAATGTTGTAGGTTTCTAAGGAGGGTATTGAGTTAATGCATCAGCTGTCTGAGTCCACTCTATAGACTAATAGGTTAGGAGTGGTAACGAAGCAGATTGCTAGCTCATTTGTTTAAGTCAGCATGTAGGTCTATTAATCTATCTATACATGTATGTGTCTGTATTTATTTATATGTGTATGTGTGTATATGTGTATATAAATATTACATCAGGATAGATTATGACAGATGTTTAAAAAAAAAAAAGTCATCCCTTTGCTGAATCAGCCTCAAACATGCTTTGAGTAGTTCTTTTAGCTCTAATGTTGGTAGAGTCACTGTTCAGAAACAGGACACTTGAAACGTTTCCTTATTATCTACAGGCTGTTGGGGCTAGGTGCGTCGCCATTCGTGGGTGTGTACAGGGCCTTGAAGGGACGTTTGTGCATCACCTCGGTAATTAGCCAAACAGTGTACGACAAGTGAAAAGGTGGGTGACGTTGTTCCTCACTCTGCCCTTCGTGGATCCTGTCTGTTATGAAAAGGCGACTTGAGAAAGGCAGAATAGAAGAAAAAGGTTACTCCTTTTTGGGGGTGGGGGGCGAATCAGTTATGTTTCAGGACCATGTATTTCCTTACAATAAATCTTTCCTAGAAAGATCTCCGAAAGAGGTGCTAGGGCTGACCACAGCTTAGTTAGAAGTATTGGCTTCTTGGCAGTACCACAGTGTTGCTTCAGTTTTTGGTTGACTAGAAGTGCGTGACTTTTCCCAAACTAAGTGTAGAACTGCAAAAAGAAAATGCTGTCTGTACCACACTTTATCAAATGTTTTCCAAACTCCAGTACTGCTTCCCCTTCTCAAGTGGATGCGTGCTGTAGGTCCTGTGCTGGGACTGGAGAACTTGCTAACCTAGCCTACACCCAAAATCAGTGCAACCCAGAAGCCATTGATGAGACAACTGGAGCCCTAAGACTGTGAAAAAGCCAAATACCTCTCTGTCCATGCAAGATACTTGGCTCTGGGGTTAATTATTATCAAGTATAGATCCAGACATTATTTGGCTACTATTTACAATGGGTTGTATGTCCAGTGCTAGCAAAGAAATGTATATATAGAAAACAAAAATAAAAAAGCATGGGCATACATTACAAGAAACCTCTGTTAGACTTATGAACGCTTGATGCAGTTGAGTTCAGTGCTTTCTCATTCTTTGCCATTTGTGTGTACAGTATTAAAAAAGAATCCTATCTTTTTTTTCCTTTTTAAAAATACAGAACTGGTAGTCTAGTCACACTCTTACAAGTAAGTGATAACAAAAATATAAAGCAGATACCCATGTGGGACTAAAACTCTACTAAAGCCTGTCTTTTTTTTTTTTTTTTCCACAAATATGTTTTCACAGACAATAATTAGCAGACAAACACACTGTTTGCAATTGCACTGTATTGACTTAAAAGGCGGATACAAAATTGTCTAAATAAAGAATGCCATCCAGGGTGAAATAGTTGTGTGTGTGTGTGTGCGTGTGCACATGTATGTGCTGACACATGCTTGTATTTTCTTGCTGCGCACCCAATCATGGAAACATGCTCTGCTCTTTGTAATTCAGTGTTGCTCTGATGTGGTTCTGCTGCACACTCGCACGCACACACACAGAGGAATGGAAATAGATTTCTGTGACAGGTGGCTTCTTTGTCTAAATCTTTTCCTATAAAAGAAAAAAAATGTGAAATTTTGGTTGGTTTAAAGGTTCTGCTCCATGAAGAAAAAAAAATTCACAAAATCCATTGTTTTTCACCTTTTCAGTCATTTCCTCATGAATAAATATTATCCATTAAAAACCTTTAAAAAGGTGCTGCGATACACAGTGTTATATTTCCATTTTCTTTATTGACTCTCTTGTTGCCATGATTCTTCCCCTCCAGCCTCTGCAGGTGATTTTTGCCCCGTACCATGGCACAACACGCTCGCCATGCAGGTTTTTCCTTTAACCAGCCTCTTCCTCCCTCTCCTAATCCTTCCTCAGTCCACAGCATGAATGCGAGTCTGAAGAAAGCTGCCTCGTTAGGTCTCCATCGCTAATTCGATGACGAAATGTCAGGTTGGTCCATCCAGGCACAATTTGCAGCAAGAAAGGAACATGGAGGTGTGGAGGGAGAGGGGCACTGGTCTTCCAGCCTCCTTCTGTGCATGACACGTCTTACAAGGCAGAGACCTTGACTATGTTGCTCGTGGTGGTGGTGGAAATGTTCGTGGAGTGGCTGGGGCTGCTGGGCGGAGGCCGGCTCTCGCCTTCTGGCGTGAGCGCTGGCGGCGTGGGGATGCTGATGATGGCTGTCGTTATCTGGGCAGTTTTGCAGTTCGGTCTCAGCCCATCATCTGATTTCATGTTGAGACTGGAACGACTAGAAAACAGATTTAGTGCTTGGCTTTTTTTTCTTAAAACCAGACAGTAGAAAGGATGGGAACGGTAGTTGTTCTTAATCAGTATCTTATTCCTCTGAACTAAGGGCACCAAAATATTCAGAAGACTCCACTTAAATGTTCCCCCCAGTTCCTGCAAAGCATCATTTATTTCTACCCAGATTACGCTAAGCTTTTCTTAATATTCCCCCTGGTTAGGATACAGCTTTTCACAGGGCAAATCGTTCTGTTTTCATTTCATTCTTGCATGATTCTAGTTTAATTAAGAGGACATCTAAATAATACTGTCCTATGTACTGTATCTTTTCAGAGCACAGGTAGTTTCTGAGATAGAGATGTGGTCTTCTGTGCATTTCAAATGCCTCTTTCAAATTCACTGTCCCTTGATCTTTTCTATTTTTTCATCTCTCTGCAGTAGTTTCACGGATCTGGCAGCTGGGAGCATTCTTATTTGATCTGCATCAATTGCATCCTATAATTAATTACAGAGGGAAAATGATAGGTTGATTTCTGTGCATCTGCACAGCTATACGAGTCTGCTATTACCAGCCCAACATGTTCATTTTAAACACAAGGCCTGTCCTTTTAAAATTTAAAGCTCCCAGTTGGAAAGCTATTGCTGTTGTTATCTCAGAGTGACTCACCAAGAGGATGTTTCTTGATCGCTCAAGCATCCCAAGAACACGGCAGAACCCATTCTGCTCCCCGGTTGCCTCAGTCACAAGCTGAGAGTGGGGCAGTCTTAGGGACTGGGTGGTTCTGCCACTGGTAACCAGTACACCCAGTTAGTTGCATTCCACATGAAAAACAACTTAAAAGCTTTTTTCTCTCTCCATTCTTACAGTTTGGTAAGCAAGTGAAATGACAAACAGTGTTGACATTTAAAATATCACTGGCATCTGATTTAGCACCCACTGAAACAGGCAGAATAGTTGACATTCCCCTGAGTTACTGTTTCAGGTGCTGGTTTAAACTATTGTCATCTTGAAGCTGCAGTAGCCAGAGACTCATTTTGTGCTTATTCATTCATAAGTCATTCTCTGAAATGTCCTTCTGACTTCACCCTGGCACAAAGTAATCGCTTGCTGCCCTAAAGGCAGTTTTGTTTCAGTTTTTAGATCCCTTTGATAGGATTGGGGAGGAGAAGAATGGTTAAGTTCAAAACCAGCCCGGTGCACAAGAGGCTTGATGGGCTGAGGGGGATTTAGAAAGTAGTTTAATATTTGCAAGAAAGATATGGTGAAGAAATGATGTTTTCAGCAAGTTAAGTATAAAATGAAAATTTCAAAATTTCCTATTGAGACACTTCTTCACCTGTGTCACTAACGGCTTTTTAGGTGAGAGCTACTAAGACACCATTGTGAAATTCCTCCTCATTTGTTTCCCAGTGGTGCTTGATGCTTACAGTTGCGATTTAGACTTTCGGACAATGAAAATCAGTGAAGTGAGCGTCCCTGGAAGGACCATGTCAGCGTGTACAGCTCTCTAATAGCTTTTGCTGACAGACGCCGGTTAGCCAGTTGTCTTTGCCTGCTCCCAGTAAAGGCATGGAAATACTGGGCTAGCTGGGAGGTGGGCTGAGAAGTGGTCCTGCGCCAGCTTTGGTGAGTGGCTCACAGCTGGCAACTGCTGGCTCCTGCCTGTGCGATTAGCACTTCATAGGCAGGTTTCAGCTGGAATTCATTCTTCTCTGTCCAGTCTGGCCAGAGAAGAGCTGCGCTAGAGTCTAGCTTTGACCTGGTTCTTCCCGGAACGGCTAGGAGCCACTTTCTTTGGGTTGTCATTGGAAGGAGGGAAACAAAGATGCTCCCAGCACTAGACCCCTCTCCCTGGCTGGAGAATAGGCCTGCTTGGATAAGGCACTTCAGAGGTTTGCATGCAGTAGTTAGCAGCAAGAGCCTACTTACTGTACCTTGTCGTAAGTGAGGGCTGCTCACTGCACTGGATGTGGATGGTGCTGAGCTCCTGCATGCTCCGGAGGCGAGTGGCTGGCACGCTGGAGTTGGGAAGGTGAGTGGTCTTCTTGTTACGGCGAGAACAGCAGGAGGTGGTCAGTCCATGGTGACTTGACAAGGAGGGGCTCCGAGAAGAAGGGTAGTTTTGCATTGAGCTCTCCATGCAGTTCTGCTCGAACAGTTGCTCATCTATGAACTCGTGGTTCTGGCAGGGGAAAGAATAGTGCCATTACTCTCTGGTGACACCAACAGCTTTGGCCCAACAGCAGTTTGTTTTCAATGGCACCTTTTGCTAGGTTGGTGGGATGTGTCAGCCCCTTGTCTGTGTAAGATGCTCTCCGCCTCTGTGCCTGAAAATATTTACACTAGGCAGATCTTTAAAAGAAATGACTCTGCCCTTCCACTCACTGCAACCAAGAGAAGATTTTGCTCTCCTGCATCAGTAGGGGAATAAGGGAAGCTGTTGCAGTGACAAAAGCATGATAGTCTACCAATGCTGCCTTGCTTACGTAGTCCGAGATGGTTAATATATTGTGTTTGAATTTCCTTTCATTTTTGTGTCTGGATTCCAGAAGTGGCTTCAAAAAGTCTGCAATGCCACATGGTTATGAAATGCAAGAGGAGATTTAGGCTCCTTTTTCTTTGTCCCTGGGGACAGGATTGTGTAGTATTTGGCTGACCATCTTGACATACAGCTTAATTGCAGGATGTTGCTTGTATTGGCTATTGAGTGCAAAGCATGCCTGCAGTTCAGTGGCTGCTCTTAGCTGAGTAGAAATAAATGTGGCAGGTGAGAGTGGAAAGTGTATAGGGGAAGGAAGTTCAGAAAGCTGAATCTGTAAATTTTGCGCTAAGGAACAAGAAATCTTGAAAGAACGAACTCTTATGTGCGTGTATGAACTCCCAAGTAGTTCTAGTGAACATATTTATCCAGTCCCTGTCAGCATCAGAAAGGATGGGAAACAAAAGCAACCATGGTGAAGGCAGCCATTGGTTTTCATTGGAACAACTAACAACTCACACAGGAAACAGGAGCACTGGATAGCCATAAAGAGCCACGTGCACAAACTCCCACGGACAAGACCAGGAACGAGAAAGGAAGCAAACACTCTTCAGACATGTCACAGAGACCATAGAGAAAAACAGATTGAATTAAAAAGCAAATACCTTGATGGTGGAAGTTCGTACAGATAACAGGGGATCATCCACAAGATAGGACAATCCCTACGGGACAACATGCCAACAAAAGATAAAAACACAATTGATTGTCCATTCTGGCATTCAGAAGTTTAGTCCCAGCATTGCAACTATTGCCTCAGCATTCCAGCTGGCTCACTCAAGTTTGAATGGGCAACCGGACCTTCTCTTCCCCAAACCTTGCCTGAATCAGACCCCTTTGTTCCTTCCTTCTCACGCTTAAGCTTTTTAATGTTATGTTCTTGGAAATAGATCAAAACTGGTAACAACTTTATTACTTTGATCTTTTGAGAGCCAAAGGCAAAGGAGAACAAAGTTTTAGCCACTGATTCACAAGTGACGCATTGGAATTGTATTGCCATTGGGTCACCAATGGGTATGGGTTTTGATCATACTCTGTGGAAACACAGAAGAAAGGTTTGGGTTGAAGGACTGGATTCGATGCACTCAGCATTTGGAGAAAACATGGCATGTGAATGTCCATACTCATTCTGGGAATTGGAACGAGTGGAAAAACACTCCTTTTGTTTTAACAAACTCCATCTGTTGTGATAATATGACAAAGTAACCTCTGTTATGGCAGCTAGAAGTACTTTAGGGTCACTTTGTCATCTGACACACCAGATTTGTGAGCCATTCACAGCCATGCAATTATAAGGCTGTATGCTAGTGATGACTGCAGATACCATGATAATAAATAATGTACTTTTAGAATTCTTCTGCCTAGTTTAAGGAAAGGTGAATTGCCCATTGAAACAAGTTTGCAACCGTGGTACATTCCTCATTCCATTCCTGCAACTTGGTTACAAAATGACTCTTCAGTATTTAAAAATTCTTCTACTACAATTTAAGTTTTTGGGAGGAGAACTGCTGCATAGTATTTTAATGGATTATGTGAACTATAGAATTTCCACACAAGCTGATCGAACTATTTTGATTGATAATTTCAGACCAGAATCCAAACTTCCTATGTGATTTGATGCAACATCATGGTAATAACTGGCTGAAAAATGTGGGGGAAAACACATTAAATATTGTGCAGATTCTCCCTCTAGGTTTTAATCAAAATTCAAAGTATCACTGTTATTGCCATTCTTTGCTGAAAAAAGCAGCGTTTGGAACATTTTCAACCACTGAGACTCACTGTCTGAGTAGGCTTGTGTGCTGGAGGCAATCTAGCTTTTTTTAGTGCGGTAGGCTAATACATCCACAAATTAGGATATGCTTTGGCCATGTTACTTCCAGCACCCTAACCGGCTCATTAGTAATGGAGCGACTCTTGCAGCTCCCAGAGATGGCCAGTGTCCCTGTGCGGAGGTCAGAATTTCCATAAGCCTTTAGAAAGTCAGGGCCTTACAAGGGCAGACCCCGGAGGCAGGGTTGTCAGCTTTTGTTTGCTTCAGCCAATTTGGTAAAGTTTCCAAATGAAAGTATTCTTGAGAAATATGGGTCATAGCAGTGAAGCTTTTACACATAAAGTTCTAAACTAAAGAGTCAGATTGTGAAATATCTGCTTGTTACGTAACATCCAAAACTGCTAGAAATAAAGGCAAGATGAGCCTTATAAAATAAATTCAATAGTCATTGACACAGGAAGAATCAGTTCACTGTCCTTGGAATGGGGACCTCTATCGCTCATTGTGATAAACCAGCTGTACTCAGCAGGTCACTGTAATTAACCAGTCATCTTCTTCCAGTGTATCGCTGAAGCCTAAGCGGTGTTATTCCAGCATAAGCCAAACTATGAAAGTGAAGGTGATTTATCTAAAAGAAAGCTCTTGCAAGTCAGAAATCAAAAGTACACTTGATGATGGATGCAGATAGAAAAAGGCATGAATATTTCAAGTGGTAACCTCTCTTCATTCTTTCTAGAATGAATCATGGTATAGATAATGTGTTCCTTTACTGCAGAACCTTTTATATATACCTGGAAGTAAAACATATGTATCAAATAAATATCTGAAATGTTCCAAGAGACTTCTGCATACAGAATCACTTAATAATGAAACATAAAATTCTCCCTCCAACACCTTGCATGATGCAAACAGAAAAGTCATTGTTACAGAATCTGCTTGACTAGCTTTGAGATAAATTTCCTGCTCTTGTAACCAGAACTGTAGTGAGAAAAGATATGTGCAACCTTTAAACCCATTAAGAGAGTTCATCTGCTCTGTGCCATATAAAGGGCTAAAGGTTAATTTTTTTCCAGCCTGTTGGTACTGGTGACCAGGTTGTGGTTTGGAGTCACTGGCAGCAGCTTCCTCCTCTTAAGACAGCAGAGCTGTCGTTTATTACTAATTAGCACAAGTGATGAGTACATATGATGTGTGACTGACAGCATAAGACAAATGCAGTTTAGCTCTCTTTTAGAAGTATTCAAGAAATTAAACTTAATGTATGCCTTGTTTATAGGATCTCCCTAACCCCATGCTAAAAAGTTATTTGCATTCAAGAGAACTTGTGTGAGCAACCTGCTATTGACTTTGCACTGGTGTAGTAGATGACTGTGGAGTAGCAGATAATCACGTCTTTATCCCTTTGCACAGTAATTACTTGTTTTTTTTTTTAAGACGACAATGACATAAAGTACACATCCCATTGCAGAATATTCTTGGGAGCTTGAGTGTCAGCCCCCTCTGGTGTAGTTTGTAGGTCTACTGAGTACATCTGAGTGCCGCCTCAGAGCATCTGCATGCATGTCTTTTCCATACGAAGCCTGGGCCAGGCATGAAGACCTAGTAAGATGTAAAAGGATTGCGTTGCTACTTACGGTTGTTTTTTCCAGGCAGTGCAGCAGGTGGTGATGTTGGCTTTCAATTAAGGAGGTGCCTTTAGTCATATGCTGCTCATCTTCAGTGGATCCCTATATAGCCAGACAAAGGGGGGGAAAAAACCAAAACCCAAACCAGGTGTAAAACTGAAAACAAACAGAACTACCAGCATTAGCTTTCACAGGGATAAAGATAATTTCAGGTTTGCTAGCTCTCAGGTTTTTCTCATTACTCTTTACAAGGTTACCTCATTTTTTTTCTTAATGATTTGGCTTGTAAACTCAGGTGAGGAGCTCAGCTTTGATTCAAAATCAATGTGTTTCTAGCCATTTTGTAGCTGTGGAGGAAACCTGGGAAATACTGTTGATGTGTGATGTCAAGGCTCAGGAACCAGAAGGTGAAGAAAAAAAGAACCTGTGCTGTTTTATTTTTCAAAAAAAACCATTGAGACTTTTAAGCTTGAAATGACCTTTGAATGCCAACAGATGTACCCTGAACTCTGGTCTCTGTTAGGAGGCAAAACACAAGCTGTCTTGCTTTTGCTGAGCTGAAAGCCTGGCTCTGCCCGACCTTCAGGGCTGCGCAGAGCTGGGCCTGCTGGAACTCGCATGTGTTACTGCCAAAGCCTCCTGCGTCGCGGCTGCATGCCAGATCAAAAAAATGTGAGTCTGGGCTTCATGTCTTGGCCTTTGAATGCTGTTTCTAGAGACAGGACTCCTGGCTCTGTCTCTCCTCTCCGTGGACATGACCAATTGTTTTCTGCACTTTGTACCTGCAGCGTGCCGAAGGGGGGCTGCTCTTTCCC